ATACTGATTTTGTTAAGTGTTTTGATCATAAATGGGTGCTGTATCTTGTCAAAGGCTTTTTCTGCATCTATTGATATGATCATATGATTCTTATTTTTTTTTATTTGTTTATGTGATGTATCACATTAATTGATTTGGATATGTTGAACCATCCCTGTGCCTCTGGAATGAAGCTCACTTGATTGTGGTGTGTAATCTTTTTAATATGTTGCTATATTCATTTCGCTAGTATCTTATTTAGGATTTTTGTATCTGTGTTCATGAGAGATATTGGTCTGTAGTTCTTTTTTGTGTTATCTTTACCAGGTTTTGGTGTCAGGGTAATATTGGCCTCATAAAATGAATTGAGAAGTATCACCTCCTCTTGCATTTTTTTGGAAGAGTTTGAGGAGAATATGTATTAAATCCTTGAATGTTTGGTATAATTCACTGGCGAAGCCATCTGGTCTTGAACTTTTACTTTTTGGTAGGTTTTCGATAATTGTTTCAATTTCCATACTGCTGGTTTATTTAGATTTAGACTTTCCAGTTCTTCTTGATTCAGTCTAGGAGGTTATATTTTTCTAAGTACTGGTCCATTTCTTCTAGGTTATAAAATTTGATGTCATATACTTTTTCATAATATTCTTGTATGATCCTTTGTATTTCTGCAGTGTCTGTCGTAATTTCCCCTCTTTCATCCCTGATTTTGTTTATTTGTGTCCTTTCTCTTTTTTCTTGAGTGAGTCTAGCCAGGGGTTTGTCAATTTTATGAACCTTTTCAAAGAACCAGCTCTTTGTTGCATTTATTTTTTCTATTGTTTTTCTGTTTTCAATTTCATTTATTTCTGCTCTAATTTGATGATTTCTTTCCTTCTCCTGAATTTAGTCTTCATTTGTTCTTCCTTTTCTAGTTTTTAAATATGAAGTGTTAAGTTGTTTATTTGGGCTCGTTCTTGTTTTTGGAGGTAGGCCTGTAATGATATGAACTTTCCTCTTATGACCACTTTTGCCATGTCCCAAAAGTTTTGATATGTTGTACTGTCATTATCATTTGTTTCTATGTATGTCTTGACCTCTCTTTTTATTTCTTCTCTTATCCAGTTATTCTTCAGTAGTATGCTGTTTAATGTCCATGTATTTGTGGTTGTTTCTGCTTTATTTTTACAGCTGATCTCTAGTTTCAAAGCATTATGATCAGAGAATATGGTTGGTATGATTTCAACCCTCTTATATTTGTTGAGGCTCTCTCTGTGTCCCAGTATGTGGTTAATCTTTAAGAATGTTCCATGTGCACAGAGAAGAATGTATAAGTAGCTGTTTTGGGATGAAAGGCTCTGTAAATATCAATTATGTCCAGTTGGTCTAATGTATCATTTAAGGATGTTATTTCCTTATTGATTTTCTTTTTGGATGACAGTGGGGTATTTGTGTCTCTTACTACGATAGCATTTTGGTCTGTTTCTTTTTTTAGTTCTGTTAGTAATTGCTTTACATACTTCGGGGCACCCTGATTGAAAGCATAGATATTAAAATGTGTTACATCTTCTTGATGCTTGATTCCCTTTATCATTATGAAGTGTCCCTCAGTATCTTTCTTTACCTTTTTTATTTCGAAGTCTATTTCATCCAATATTAGTACTGCTACTCTTGCTTTTCTCTGAATGCCATTTGCTTGATATATTATTTTCCGCCGTTTCACTTTGAGTGTATATTTGTCTTTGGAACTGAGATGTGTCTCCTGGAGGCAGCATATGGTTGGGTTTTGGTTATTGATACATTCTGCAACTCTGTGCCTTTTTATTGGTGAGTTCGGTCCATTTACATTTACATGTAGAATCTTAATTGCGTTCACTACTCTTAGTCTAAGTCCCTGCCAGTGTTAGCGACAGTTTTGGTAGTGTTTGCTCAGACTCCCCTGGGAATCCATGGTGTTCAGTCTCGGAGATTATGGGGGAAGGGACCCTCTGGGTTCAAGAATGGAGGCTGCTGCTCAGCCTCTGTTTTACAACCACAGCTGGTAAATGTCAACTGTTTTTTCTCTGCCGTCCTGCTTCTCTGCTTTCTGCCCCGATGACTGGGCCCTGCCTCCGGCTGTGTGGAGCTCACAGCACTCCCAAGCAGGGTTATTCAGGGAACTCGCCTTATCTTCTCCCCTCCTTCTCCTCCTCCAGATAGCTCTGGTGGCGGCGAGAGGCAGCTTCTTTATTTCCCCCAGTCCACTGCCTGACGCCTGGGGTTCTGACCTGTGGTAGCTTTTATGCGCAGGTCCCACGCTCAGACGTGCTGGTGTACAGTTTGATTGTTTTTTTTTGTTTTTTTTTTTTGGTCAAGTTTTAGATGTTCAGCTTATTGTTGTTTCAAGGGGAGAGATCTGGGGACGTCTCTCACTCTGCCATGTTTCTCCAAACTCTCTGATGCCAGAACAAGGCTGGAAGGGCAGCCACCATTTAGCCTTAGTCCCCCCCACCCCCACCCTTTTTAAGGCAACAACCAACTTTACTAGAGTATTTACTAAAGTATATTTTATTTTTCCTTCATTTATTTTTTGTAGTCTCTGCTGGATATATTGCTTTTCTTTTTTTAAGTACTTCATCCAAAATTTTCCAGTGTGAGTTTTTGAAGCATATATTCTAAGGCCATATCTGCATAAGGATTTTTTTAAAAATCATACCCTCATATTTGACTGGATCTAAAATCATATGTACTAAGTTATTTTCTGTCAATATTCTTTATATTAAGTTTAATATTAATATTCTTAAATTACAGTATATTGCATCTATGTAGGAATTTGTCCTATTTCCCTCTTTTCAGTCTCTGAGTCCTTTCTATTTGAGGCTAATCATTTTTTTTAATTCTAAAAAATTAATATTTACTATTCCTTCAAATAAGTCCTTTTCTTCATTTTTATTTTCTCTCTCTTTATGGGTCACCTGCTACATAGATTAACACCTGGATAATACTTCTGTTTCTATCCATTGTATCTCTTCGCTTCTCATTAAATTTAAAATTAAGCTAATTTTAAATTATTCAGACTCTGCTAATATTTTTGCTTTTGATGGAATCTATTTGTTTTCCTTTTGAAGTGCTTCTGCTCCTCAAACATCTAGTAATTTTAGCCTGACTCCATTTGCCACTGGGATGCTGTCTTGTAGGCAGCTGTGAGAGCACAGATCTCTCAGTGTCAATCCCCATGGGTGCTGAGCCCAGGCAGGGGTGGGGGCATCCCAGGGAGAGTTGGGGCACCAGACGATCATTCGTTCTGGGAGGCAGTAGTTGTGGGGGGGCGGTTACTAGTTCCCACCTTTTCCTCCAAAGCACAGGGCGTGATAGGATCCCTAGACCAGGCCGTGTTTATTCTAAAGTAATGAGAATGGTGGTGAGGCGACATCAAAACTCCAATAGTTGTCTCCTATTTTAGTCCCTTAAGTAGGTTCTGGTACCAGTTCCAATGTTGCAGTGGTGGAGAGGTTCCCCCACACTAACAAGAGATTTTCTGAACAGCAGCTGAGTGTCTTACGGTTCAACTCAATCCTGAAACCATTTTCTGAGAGCATTAGATTCCATTGGATAAAGGCTCAGTCCTGTAAAACTGCCTCTCACTTCAGACACTAGTCACGAGACCAGGTTGTCACCTGTGCTTCTGACCGACTGGCTACGTATTGGAGGTTGCCATAACCCCCTCCTACGATTTGGTTGGTTCGCGACAGCGGCTCACAGAACTCAGAGAAACATCATACTTACCAAATTTCCAGTTTCCTGTAAAAGGATGTAAGTCAGGAACAGCCAGTGGAAGAAATGCAAAGGGCAAGGCGTGGGAATGAGTTTCAGAGTTTCCATGCCCACTCCAGGCACGCCATGCCACTCTCCTCAAATATCCTCGTGTTCACAACCAGGAAGGAAGCTTTCTGAACAATGTTCTCTTGGGTTGTTAAGGTCTTCTTTCATAAACATGATTGATTAAATCATTGGCCACTGTGATTGATTCAGCCTCCAGCCCTCTCCTCTCCCTGGAGGTCAGGGGGTGGGAGAAATTTCCAACCTTCCAATCACATGGTTGGTTCACCTGACAAACAGCCTTGGATGCTTCCAAAAGTCACATCATTAACATAACAGAATTCTTTATTGCTTAGGAATTCCAAAGGTTTAGCTCTGTGCTAGAAATAGGAAGACCAAATGTATATTTATCATAAATCATAGTATCACACCCCTGCAATTTGCCTGGCTGCCTCCTGCGCAGGCCACAATGACATTCCTACCAGTAAAACACAGGCCCCACCCTGCCCAGGGGCATCTCACAGTCTCCCCACTTTTGTTTCCCTCTATAGAGCTCCAGAGCTTGAGTTAGGATGGAGAACCATCGATTTTGCTATACCAGCATCTCTGTCTTACTGTCTATGGTCCTTCTTTTTATTTTAAAGTAACAAGTGTATGTGGTTTAAAAGTGTTGACAAAAAAAGTCCAAACCTATAGAAAATTTTATAAGAGTTTATTTGAGCCAATAACTGAAGACTGTCACTGGCGATGGCCCATCTGTTCCTGAGAGCTATGTTGGAGCAGCTGGATGCATGCAGAACCCCTTGTTAAAGAGTGGCCCCAACTACAGCATTGGCGGTGGTGATAGAAAAGGCGCCTTGAAGGGCAATCTGTTACAAAGAGGCAAGAGGACAGAAGTGAACACAATGAGGTAGTGCAGGGGCCAGCTTCGGGAGGGTGTGTTCATTCAACATTGGGGAGCCCAGGAAGTTGTTTGACTCAGGGCCTTTGTCTCCTGCTCAGTCTTCTTCACACCTCTCTTCACTGGATAGATGTGTGGAAGGACTGTGCGTAGTCTCACTCTTGTGGAAACTTCTCACTCTTGTGGAAAGATCCATGTCACACTCCTCTTCTCCTCTCAGATATGTGCTTTGCCTATTTGAAGACAGTACCTTTCATTTCCTGTTCCTGGGCAGAGATGTGTATTTCATCTCTTCCTTTGGACATAAACGTGAAGAAAGATACTCTATCCTTGACGAAATTTTCTTTTCTAGCCAAATTCTTTTTTCTCATTTCCTCAGAAAGTTTGAGCAACCAGAGGCCACGTGGTTACTCCCTGGTTTTGTACTGGTCCCCCAGAGCAGCTACTCACTCTTGGATCTCTTTGTTGGAGGAAGAGTTGGAGCAAGTGGTCAAGTTCACTCTTCGAGATCATGTGACATATTGGTGTGGGGATTATGTGGTGATGGAATGAGGAACAAGAAGGAGGCTCAGCATTTCTGGCAAACAACCAATCTAGGAATGAGAGCTGCCAGTATTTCCTGTTTATCTTTTTAAAGATAATTACCTGTTTCTTGTTCTCAAATTTAGAAATTACTTCATAGCAACATGATAGAAAATGAATATTTTAAGTTAATGGTATCCTTCTTTCTTAAGTTGTCATGGCATCCTTCTCTCTTTCTTTCCTAAACCAAGTCAGTTGTTAATCCAGATGTTTACATCCCCAGAAGTATTTGCGTCAGAAGTATCTTAAAATTTTTCTCAAAGTTTCTGCTTAGAACTGCAGTGGCAATTTTAATTATGATCTAGATCACAGGAAATGTTTTTGGGACCTACAAGACCTGACTTTCATAATATTTTGCACAATGTTTAGAATTAAGTGCTATATTAAATTTTTTTTTTAAGGTTTGAGTTGAGTGGAAAAAGGGAATCTTCTGTTTTGTCTTGGAAGCCATTCTGGGGGTCTTGGGGAGGGATCTGGGGATGGTTATGTTTATGGCTTCGCCTTTGGTTAAATAATGTTCAATACAGCAACTCAAACAGTATTTTCCCACAAACTTCATGAGAATTATCATTCTATCCTTAG